ACATCATTGAGATATGAGTCAAATAGAAACAAATAAGTAGCAAAAGCAGAAAAATAACTATTGTAATTTCTTCTTGAATCAAAAAACAACAAGAGTAAATACATACCAGAAGCATTATTTTGCTGATATAGAACAGGTTTAAAGTAGTGTACAACAAACGAAATGAAAATTGTGAGTAAGAATGCAATGAACTCACCAAGCTTTTGGCAGTTGTACATCTGATGAATCATATGTAATCTTCGGAATAAATAAAAAGTGATTTTTATGCTAGATGACTTTTTTGGTGTACTCAGTAAGATCGAAACCTTTACTAAACATCTCTTCCATCCACTTTCTAGCCTCTACAATCTGACCACGTTTGGCAAAACCATGCACTATTATATCATAAGTCCATCTGTTTGGCTCATACCCTTTTTGATGCAATCTATCAAGGTACTGGCAAGCATAGTCCATTTCCTTCATGCTTAATCTTCGCAGAAGCAAATTGTAAGTGTAGGTGTCTAGAGGGAAGGATTGCTGAATCTGTTTTTCCACATCCTCCATATCTTGGTTTACTTCAATACAGCCAGAAAAAACACCAACCAGCTGGCCCAATTTCCAACTGACAGGTGTTAGATTTTGCTCATGACTTAAACAAGCCCACGCATCATATAGTTTCCGAGTTCTCAAAGAATTCAACAGAAGTACATTGCCGATAAAGGAAGAAATAGGACGCCCAATTTGAGTCATATCATTGATAAGTTCTACAACCTTATAGTATTGTCTATGATCACAATACAACTTCACTAGTTCCTCATAAGATTCTAGACTCGGTAACTTGTTTGCTTTCATATTCTCAAATATCTGCAATGCATGCTCTGGTTTGTTAACTTTGAAAGACCAACAATCATGGTCTGCCATAGTTTTCTACACTCTCTCCTTTTGTATGCTTCATGGAAGAAATTTAGAGCATCAGCAATTTTTTCGCTTTTCAGGTAGCTTCGCAACATTAGTATATCAGAATTCAAGTCTGGTAAGAGACCACTTCATATACTTGCCTAGCCAGCTCAGGTTTTCTGGCGTGCCCAGCACCATCAATGAAGAAATTGTAAATAGGTGAACTAGGCTGCAGCCGAGCCAGCTGCATCTTTAGCAATCTAAAAACTTGCTTCTCTATATCATCCGTTTGACATAAACGGCAAATCACGTCTCTATACAATTTCCTTTTAGGGTGATAACCTTTTTCTTGCATTTCTATGGGTGATCTAGCAGCAATATCTCCTATACTCAACTTGTTAAAACTATTGATCAGGTGAACATATGTACTCCTAGAAGCAACTTTATTCAATCGGTTAAGCTGGCCATGAACCAAGTAAACATCTTCAACTATCTTGGCCCTACAGAGAGCTGATATGAACTTATAATAAGTCAAGTCATTGGGCATGATATTCAGGTCTAATGCAACAAGAACCAACTCTTTCATCTTATCGAGCTTTCCTTCTCTGCAAAGAGCATTAGAAATAATGGAGAAGGTCTTTTTTCCAGGGAAATAACCATGTTCTATTGAATTTCTCAACACACGATATGCTTCATCAACAGTATCATCCCCCACTAGAGTATTTATAAGATAATTATAAGCCATGCAACTCACAGAACGGCCAAACGCTGCCCTCGAATCATATAAATCCATGGCAACATCCATCATTCCAGCCTTGCATAAGAAGCACAATGTTGCATTCATTATGACATCATTAGGTAATATTCCACTTCCCTTCATCTCCATCAATAAATCGCACACCTCAATAAGCCTATTCTCAATCAAAAGCCTACAAATCAATGAGTTATAACGAAAAACATCAGGAACATAACCCTCGACTAATTGTTTATCCTTCAAAAACTCCAATGCCCCATCCAATTTCCCAGCCTTAACAAGGTCCCTAATCCACACGCTGTATGCATACTCCATCGAAACCAAATTCATTTTATGGAACTCCTCAATCAATAATGCAGCCTTCTCAAACTGATTATCCTTGCAAAAAGCATCCACAAAAATACGAACCGCTGCCCCACTCAATCCCATCCCATTATTTCCCACCAGACCTTGTTTTCAGCCCTCTCCAACTCATTCTGCTTACAGAAACTCTTCATCATCATCGAATGTGTTACCTCATTCTGAATTGCCCGGACTCTAATATGCTTCACCACCATTTCCACAACGTCAAAATAGCCCACATCGACTAGTGAATTCAACAGCACATGGTATGCAAATGCGTCCAAATCCACGCCCTGAAAAAATATAAAGAAAACAATTATAGATCAAAATGCATAGCAAAAACTTTAGCAACTCTATCCTCCAACATTCAATCGTATTATCAGATATAAGTTTCAATATGGGGCTCCAATGAAGGCTCCTCACTAGCGCTCAACCACATTGTCAATGGAACTCGTATAATGAAAATCTTGTTGGCTTACCACCAATTGAAAATCAAATCTCATTTTGTTTTTTTTGTTATAATCATCTTCATTACAAGTTGGCGGACTAGTTGTGCTGAAAAATGTATACGCTTCATTTGATATATTTGTCCAAAACAAGATTCCATGAGCATTTCTTGGTGAACATTATCTAATATCTCTCGAACATAGTCAAGTCTTTGAAGGGAGCACTTCTGTGAAGGTCTATCTTTAATTCCATCTTCAACGAGAATCACAAACTCAAATTATTGTTCCATTTCTACATCAATGAACGAATATGAAGAATTTACAGTAATATTAAGTGATACTTAGTACAATTCATTTTCAAAAACAAATAAACGGCAATGTGACATTTTTTAGAATTTTATAAATGACAGGGTGCCATTTTCAGAACTAGATAAACTTCGAGGTGCCATAATGGAAGATTCAGCAACTAACATATCAATTATCACAAGCTCAATCAAGCAAATACAATTTTCATCATGGAAAAATGTGCAAAATACTACCATATATTAGTTACGGTAAAAAATCACGATCTTTTATTACTCTACCATATTCTATTTCATGCAAACCTCTTGAATCCAACACATCTCACTAAGGAAAGCCACATTATAGGAGAAAAAATAATTCATCTATATCTCAATAACAAGCAAATACCATAATACAATATAAGTGTTCATAAAAGAATCATTAAGAGTAAGTATTTCGTGGAACTTTAAAAAAAAGAATGAGCTCAAAATCTCATATCTTTTCTCTTTGCATAATCAATAAAGTCCAAAATATTAAAAAAGACACTTGATTAAATAACACAAAATAGTGTCAATTTGCTAAGATTTCAAGGATATCACAGAATATCCATTTTATAACACTAACATTGCAACGAACATGATATTTAAATATTTTTCAGCAAGTAGATACTTAAATGTCTAATAACCTATAGCAATTTTTATTACATTCTCATCTTTGCTTCCAATTATCAGCTCAACACTTGCTGGAATTTTTTTTTTTTTTTTTAGTCTAGAAGCAAAAACCACTCAAACCATAAGTGGAACATAACTTGCCCATTATAAAATTGTAGTAAAAGTGAAAAAAAATGAGGAAACATTCATACCTGAGGATAGCCCACTATGAAATTGGTTCTTAGAAGTGATTGTTCACGTATGGGTGCTTTTTCACGAGTTTTTGTTCTATCAATCTTGGGAAATGGATGAAACCTTCATACCAAATTCATCCTTTAGCTCAAGAAGACGAAGACGACTGATTTTGAATGGTAGAAGGATTTGAAGATGACAAAATCAAGAAGAGAAAATAAGAAGGGATTGGGGATCAGGAAGAGAGAAGAAAGATATTAAATTTAGGATTTTGGGAATTCAATTAATTTGAGAAAATGGGAAATTATGTTTTCCAGTGATGTTGAATAAGTGTATATTAGGTAGTTTATATATTATGATTTAAAATATTTATTTTAAAAATATTATTTTGGTCAAATGCTAAAATCACAAAGTGCATTATGAAATACGCTATTTGACACAATTATCACAAAAAAATCTCTTATAAATTAATTGGGCCGGGGGATAGGTAATCATTCTTCATCTGATTGTTGTTTGATTTTTTTCGAAATAAAAAATCAAGAGATTGATGGCTTCCCTTCCTCCACCTCCCTCTGCCCCTGTTAGCGTGAGATGAAGGTGGTGGTACGTTGGGGAGTAGCTATGGTATAGGAGATCTGATGGCTTGGGTGGTGGTGCGTGAGTTTGAGAGTGATGGTCTGGAGTTTGAAAATTGAAAAGAAAAAAATTATTTTTTTGTATTTTGTATTTGAAATGGTAAATAAATATATTTTGAAAAGTTTATACAATATAAAAGAGAGTAATTTTGAAAAATTATTGTTTAGGAGGGTGTATTTAATTGTGAATTTTAAAGACATATTATAATTTTAAAAAATTAAGAATATTTAATGTAGACTTTTTAAGATTCACTAAGGCTCTGTTTGATTTGGTCAAATTTTTCATGGAAGATGGAAATTAAATTACATTTCCACCTTTTTGCGTGTTTGATTGACTAAATTTTTCATGAAATTGGTTTTCCACATTTTCTTGATTTTTGAGGAAAAGATTTTCCCATGAGTTTAGTGGGAAAAAGGCAATTTTTTTTTTAATTTTTTTTGCAATGGCAACAAATTCTATCTCCAATTGTAACAAATTATATTCTTTTAATGGACAATTTTCATGAAAAATAAAGTCAAACGAACATCAAAAGATTCAAAATTTCAATATTTTCCAGGTGGAAAATTATATCAATCAAACACAATTAATTGACAATTTCAAGTAAAACAAGTTCTAAACAATTCAATTCCCTGTAATTCATTTTCTTTTCATCCAATTCCATTTTTGCAATCAAACAAGCCCTAAAAGTATTTTATTTTTTGGATCATGATACATGTACCGAATTTTTTACTTACTACTCACAATGGAGATGATGACCACATTATCGAAATTTTTAAATACACGTGGGTCCCACGCATTATGTGAGAGGTGATAATTCATTACGTACAAACCATTGTATACAAATGGATTAACCTATTGTATAAGCATCATGCTACACAAAACGCACTTCTTTTAGACCAGTAGATCTGGACCATAGGATATATAATGGGCGATTCAAGTTACTCTGAGAAGTGCGACTTTAGTTGGAAATGATAGAAAATTGTGGGGGCTAAAGCTGGAGTAGGGGTATTCCCCGTAGATGGTCCAATTATAATGCGTATATAACACACAACCGAATCTGGCGTCGTAATTTTCACATTAATGTGCATATTTGAATCGCTCCAAAGCGCGAGACTGCGAGAGTGAATCGAAGCAGAATCTTTATTAAAATCTTTCAATCTCATGCATTTATCTGGTGATTTATCTTAATTTTACTCCTATATGTGTATTTTTGTTTAATAATTTTTCTCTTGGCACGCACGCA